TTCTTAATTATCTTAGACCAAAATGTGTATAATAATTTTTATTATATTATTATAATAAAATATATAATTATAATATTTTAATTTATGATTTTGTAATTTGTAAATCATAAAATTTTAATTTAAAAAAATCACAATTAATTTTATTATCATTGTCATGATGTATGGACATATTGGTCTTTATACTCATTATTCCTTATATTTCCAAACTCAAACAAACAATGAAATCAATTTTTCTGATAATTTATTTTTCATAAAATTTCAATTCCATTACTCCTTAAATATTTTGTGTGAACCGAATGAGTGTAAACTCCCAAGTCTCAACTAACAAAGTGTCAAACACACACTTAAGTTGACGTCACATAACAATGCTTACTAATTGTCATGGGATCTAATTTCAACTTTAGGTAAAGAATGGAGATATTAAATGGATTCAGCCATTCATGTTTGGTAATTATTATTATTAATGAAGATGTGATATGAAAAATGTAAATGGAAAAATATGCATGCACGTATGAGTGTATTTTTATTTAGGTTGAATATTTGTTGTGGGTTCGAAGGGCAGAAAACTGTGTTCATTGTAGAGGAAGGACCACATACCTTTATTTAGCGGACAAAAATTAAAGTTCATAGGACAAACCAGCAAGAGGCCCACGCACGTGCATTGCGCGTACGCTCACCTCCACTATTTTGACAGTGACAATTATTTTTGAATTACATTTGTGTGAGACCGGCTCATGGCAAGTCACGGTCTTATATTTGTGATACAGTTCAAATAAATATGCAAATGTAATACAAATTAGGAATAAAATATTTATTAAGAAAAAGTGTAATACTTTTGAGAACAAATGTAATATTTTTATATTTTAATGTAAAATTATTACGGAATACATTTTTCTTTATAAGTAATGTTGACAAATGTTTATTACTTATAAGGAAAAATGTAATACTTTTGAATAGAAATGTACTATTTTCGCCCTATTTTATGTGGCTGGTTCTGTTAACGAGGCTTGACTGAAGTTATTTAATCCAATTTTTCATAATATTAGGTATAGTATTAATATACAAAATTTATATATTCAGAAACTTTACTAAAAAGACTATTAAACACAAAAATCAACTTTAATTTAAAAATAAGTAAAAAATATTTAAAAAAAAAACAAAAAAGAAATAGTTGATTTGACCAATGAATAGTAAGTATGATAGATAAAATGAGATAGAGGGAGTAATACTTTTAAATCAAAATGTAAAAGTATTACATTTTTCTTCAAAAGTATTACACTTTTCCATATAAGTAATAAACATTTTATTCCTTATTAGTATTTTATTTTCCAGTATAAGTATTACATTTGCTCTTGACCCGATCTGTCTCACAGGCAAGGATATGTGTGACGATCTCACACAAGTTTTTGCCTTATTTTTTTGGACTGGTCTCCCCTCTCAAGTGAGATAATTTGTAAAAAAATACTTTATAGGAGAATTGTAATTTATAATTTGCAGGAAATAATATTACTAAATTCATATACCATAAGACTTAAATTTGATTGACCCGACCCGTTTTCATGTATTGAGGCCCAATTTTTAGAACTCCTGCCCAAGAATCATTGACGTAGGTAAATCGTGAGTCACCCACCAACCTCCCAATCAATTCTTGCCGTTGACTTTACGCACAAGAAATTCATTTCCATACTTCTACCAACTTAGTGAGTGCAATCTCTAATCTAAAGCAACCCAATAACCCAAATTCTAACTTAGAGAGCTCTAACTCCAACAAGACGTACACAAAAACAATAATCCTTACTAATGTCAATGGAAGAGGCTAAACAATAAAAATAAATAATAGATAAAATAAATAAATCTTAACTTTAGCTACATAATAAAAATGGTGGAATTTTTTTAAAGAATTGATTGCAATGAGAAGATTCCGGTCTGGTTCGGTCCCCATAGTTTGGAGAGCAATGAAAATGATTGATTGGTAGATAGGATGATGGCTTTAATAGTAGGGAGGTCTTAATTACAATTAGTTGGGGAAAAGAAAGACTAGTCACACTACTATAATATAGGACCACCACATCTCATTACCAATTTTTTCAACCATTTTTCACTCTAATCTATAATTCTTCTGCATCTAATTGTTTTTTCCATATGATATTCGCTATTTTCACAATTATGAAACTAATATAATATTGAACCAATTATCTCATTACCATTTTTCAAAACTATTTTCCAGTCATCTATAATTCATCTGCATCTAATTCTTCTTTCATCATTCTGAACCCCATAGAATCGTTATATCTCATCTGCATCTAATTCTTCTTTCATCATTCTGAACCCCATAGAATCGTTATATCGTGGCCCAAAGTGCATGTTGCTACACGCACCCAAGGCATTCCTATTTTTTATCCTTACAATTTTTTAACTTAAATTTATTTCTTTTTTATTTTAGTATAAATAAAATTAATGTATAAAAATATATATCATTGAGAATCTCTAATTGGGATCTTTTAAATGACACTCATCATGTTTTTTTTTTTTTTTTTTAAATAAAAATAAATTTACATGTATATAAAGTCATTACTTTAGATACATAAACTATTACATTACTATTGGTTCATAAAGTCACAATTGTAGATTTGTAGGTACATGTATAACTACATTCCTATTGGTTCATAAATTAAATCACAACTTCAAATACATAAATTCATTATTGTATGATACGTAATGCTGTAGGATACATAAATTTACTACTATAGATTTATAAAATCACTGTTACAAGTTCATTAAAAATTATTAAAATGACATTTAAAAATATCAGTATAAGTGTCAATTAAAATATCTCCTTGAGATATTTTAATGAGATTTTTTTATATATTAATTTTATTTATACAAAAAAGATATAGAATAATATATTTAAGTGATAATTGATCTATTGGTGTCATTTTTATTAATATATGCAGTATTATTTTTATGTACTTTAAAAAAAAAAATTCACATACAATATTATTTTTATGTATTTGAGTACGTTATATAATTTTTCTTATCCTGAATAGCTCTTTCTCTCTCCCTCTCCCTCTCAGACTGATTATTTATACATGTAGATACATAATATTAAGTGTCGAGGTATTTCTATATTTTGAATATTTTTCTATTTCTATTATTTCTTAAATCACCTTAAAGTCTAGTATTCTTGCGAACAAAATATGAAAAATAAAAAATGATTTTTACTTGAATTCTTTTTTGCCTATTTTATTCAGTAAAATAGAGATGATGTAAAAGGTGATGATGGATGATGTATTACTATCAAATCTTATAACATAAAATAATATTTATATTTAATTGAGTGCAATGAAATAAAATTAAATTTGTGAATGAAATTGTTGGTGATTGAAGAGATCATTTCAGGCTTCCAGCTAGCCCCACAATAAAGAAACACAGAGCAGCACCGATCCATCTGAAAAAGCCTGCACCTTAACTCATCAGTTTTAGGTCCCGAGATTACTGGATGCATGCCATGCTCTCTACATTACCAAAAAAAAAAAAAAAAAAAAAAAAAAAAGTGTGCATTTAATAAACCTGGATTTCTGACTCTAGTTGGCAAAAGACTACAAGGAAATCAATAGACTGTTCATGTTAGGAGTCAGACTTGTAACCTTCCTGTGATTACCAAACTAAGTTAATAGCCTGACCAAATTGATTGTGGTTATCCCTAAAGAACGTAACATATGTAAAGTATTACCATTTTTTTAGTGACAACTCTGTCTTGTGACTCTAGCCGGCAAATGACTAATGAGGTAAATTAACCTAGGTTATCCATAGCTGACCAACTCAAAATAAGTCACATCTACTGGGAGTTAAACTTATAATATTTGGTTACCAAGTCAGCCGTCTAATCAACTTGGCTAGAATTGCCTTTCTCCCTTTTATAAACCTCGCATTGTGATCCTAATTCACAAATGACTACGAGAATAAATTAATAGATAAATTAATGAAATCTATATGTATTCAATTTACCAAATGATTTTCGTAAGTAAGTATTTAATCCATAAGTATTTCAATTTTTTGGTTTTTGTAGTATATGCATTTATTATTAAATTTATTTCAAAGCTAGCTATTTTTAGAAATTCAATCATACAAGTGTAGACCATCGTTATTATTATAGAGTTAGAATGTGAAAAATAAAAATAAAAATTACATCCTTACACAATAAATAACATTGTTTATCGTAATAAAAATTTACAATAGAATAAACATCTTTCTCCTAGCGATAGTGACGTTGTAGGAGTAATGATTTGCCGAGGAACATGATATATAAATTAGCATATAGGAGTAAATGTGTAACAATAAATTAAACATATATAGCATGTGACGGCTTGTGTAACATTTGTACTAGGCAAATTAAAAGTTCTTCAATAATTCTTGTCTTATCACTACCTAGTCTTTAAGGATTTGTTCTTCAAAAAAGTTTCTATTTTGACCTGGTTTGTAATAATTGAGATTTATATATGCAAAGTTACAATACAAATCCAAATTAAACATATATTTACCAACTCGATCACATCGAAAGAGCATTAAAACAAGCAATAAATTTTGAATATAAACCGTAAAACCTCTTCTCTACAAAATATGAAAATATTCAACACTTTTTGCGTAAATATTATTGTCAATTCAAGAAAATTTAAACTCACTCACAATCTAGAAATCACATACCATCACTATATATATACTCTTTTTAAAGCTACATAACAAACAAATCCCTAAAATTAAAGAGACGGAGAAGTAAGAAAAGGAAAGGATGGAGGATTCTTTAAAATCTACAACAAAAAGGTTTAAAATGAGTCATCAAAACACAATAAGACAAACACAACTCTTGTGACATAATAAACAAGAAGGGAAAAGACATCATTTTTACCTAAAAGATATACAGAATAAATAATAGAATACGTATAAAAAAAGTGTGTTTATGTAAATATTCATTAATTATATATATGGAGCAATATTACATGATGCTTATATGTAGTTTAAAAGCTCAAAAAAAAAAAATAACTTATTTGTCGGTTGTATTGATGTTTGTACAACATTGACCCACTTAGACAGGTGAGAAACAAATGTAATAGAGATCATTTTTTTCAAAAAGTTGAACCCCAACTCGACAGAGCATATGAGAAGATGTAAATCATGATAATATTTTACTGTTACTGGTGAGACTCAATTCCTGATCATTCTTTTCAAATTTCAGTTAAGCTGCCCATGCGGGCATGAAATAGAGATGATCACTATATGGCTCAGTGTTTAGAGCCTAGAGGTCATCATCATACCCCCCACCCCCCTACCCACCCACATAACCCAGGCCTATCAAAACATCCATCTGATCATCTATTTGTGTGATAGAAGATGTCTGTTCTTCCTTCCTTCCTAGGTTGTTTTCATGGCACACCATTTGTTGTTGGGTTATGAACACATAAAAAAAAAAAAAGTACAAAAATAAAAACAAATAAAACGCCCAGACCTTAACTCTCACTTCTCACCCTCTTGTCTTCTTCTTCTTCTCGTGTTGTTATTTACCCTAAATACATAAACATAGTATCATACCCACTGTCTGCAACCCCATACAGTTTCTGCTCAAAACTGGTTCATCTTCTTCTCCTTCTTCTCCTTCTTCTCCTTCGTCTTGTTCTCTGTTTGTATTAAAGATCTAATCTTTGGTTCTTGATGGGTTTTGTGGTTTCAGAGATGGTGAAAGTTTGTTAGGAGAGGAGGATATGGCGGGTGAAGAAGGTGAAGGGAAAGGAAGGTCGTCGTCCATGGTGACAAATACAGGGTATTGGTACAGTGATTCTGCGATGAATACTCAGATTCAGAGTGGTCATATGATGAGTCAACTCCAAAGCTTTGAGCCCAACCCAGAGATCTACAATTTGAGTAGTGGCATGGAGATGATGGTAGGGTTTCCCTTCAAGAATCTGCAGGCCCAGAGTGATATGTGGAAGCCTGTTCCATTATCCCACAGTGAGAACATGGTGGCTGGCGGCGGCGGGGCACCGGTTCTTGGCGGCGGCGGTTGGGCGGTGGAAGGAAATAATAATAGTAATGAGATGAAAGTGTCTATAACCCAGAAAGGCCTTTCACTCTCTCTCAGCTCCACTAATCCTTCTGCTATTGGCTTCAACTCCTTTGATGATCTCAGGCTTATGGCTGCTTCTTCTTCAAGCTCTAGGTTGAATAACATTCAACATGATGAAGATGATAGGTTTCTGGGAAAACCAGAAAATCTGGGCCATCCATCCCAAGACTACTTCTTCCAGATCAGAAGCTCAAAGTATTTGGGCCCTGCGCAAGAGCTCTTGAAAGAGTTCTGTTGCGTTGGAACAACCCAATCTGATGAACCAAAGAGAAAGAGCCAATGGCAGCAAGATGACCACACCACTTCTTCACAAAACCATTCTTTGGGTTCCCTTCACTTTCTGGAATTGCAGAAAACAAAATCAAAGCTCCTTCATCTGCTAGATGAGGTATATATATATGTTACCTGTCTCTTTGAATCTTTATTATTTCTCACCTGCATATTAATTTAATGATTGAATGAAATTAAACCCCTTCATTTTTAATATTGTTGATTAAAATGATGTTAAAAATATCAACTTCAATTCAAGTCTTGGAAAGGAAAGGATTACTGTTTCTGACATCATAAGTACAGTTAAAGTTAAGGCTTTAACCTGTTTAAGGAAAGAATTGAGTGGTGATTATTGGGTCCTCCAGACGGACAACTAGACAAGAGTACAAGACAATGGACATGAAATCTTAAACCAAATTAAACTATGTGGCCAATTGGGTTTTCATTAATGCCAACACAGATAGCTAAAGTTTCTTTTTTCTTTAATTTTCTGGGGACCCTTTAACTATATGGTTTATTATTGTAAGTTTGTAAATAAAAATTCCATTATATTCCCAAATTTTTTGAGAGTAGGTGGATAGGAGATACAAGCACTATCGTGATCAAATGACGGCGGTGGTATCATCGTTTGAGGCGGTGGCCGGTGACGGCGCTGCGACGGTGTACTCCGCCTTGGCTTCCAGGGTGATGTCAAGGCACTTCAGGTGTTTGAGAGATGCGATCTTGGCTCAACTTAAAGCTGCCAAGAAGGCCATGGCGGAGAAGGAGTCCTCGTCGGCGGCGCCGGGAGCCACTAAAGGGGAGACGCCGAGGCTTAAAATGATTGATCAGACACTCCGGCAGCAGAAGGCTATTCAGCAGCTCACTATGATGGATAGCCATCCATGGAGACCCCAACGTGGCCTGCCGGAAAGATCAGTTTCCGTCCTCCGGGCTTGGCTTTTCGAGCACTTTCTTCACCCGTAAACTTCTCTATCTCTCATCTCAGTAAAATTTCCAAATTTACACATCAGTAAATTATACCGGAAATCATGAATAAATGTTCATTTTTAATATATTGAAAATTTATTATTTGTATACTGAATGTTCATTATTTAATGTACAGTAATGAACTTTCAAAATAAACATTCAATATATTAATTAAAATGTATCCTATTTCACTAATTCATATATAGTATAATGATTGTTACACAAATAAGTTGTACAAATTAACTAACTAGATTTTTGGCTCGGGAATTCAACTAAGTCAAAAGTCTTTTTAAAGTTTAAACCAGACCAAAAATGCCCCATCCACTTGCTGTTTTAGTGCTTATGATGTTTTCAAATGTTTGCCTCAGTCTTTTGTTTTGTTGGTTGGTTAAAAGCTACCAACTTGTTTGTTCATTATAATACACCGAATTATCTACAAATTAAACAAAGATGAAAGGGACACTTATAAGGTATTGAGGTTCCATGTTTAAGAGTATGAGGTATTGATCGAGGTTCCATGTTTAAGATTCTTTATTGTCATTTTTGTTTCATAAGTATATATGGTTAAGATTCCAATTAAAATGGTTTTGTTTTAATGAAATCTTTGGTGCAGGTACCCAAGTGATGTGGATAAACACATTTTGGCACGCCAAACAGGTCTTTCAAGAAGTCAGGCAAGTCCCTTTCTCAACCAAAGACTTGTTTAAGTCCACCATTATTGAATAGATTAATTTGTATTATTAAAGCATGAGTAGTAAATTGTGGGTAGGAACATAAGATTAAACCCGAGTAGGGTCACACTGTATCTGTCACGCATTATCTTATTGGGCTTGGGTGTGAGGATCGCAGGTTAGAGAATTTCGTCTTTTATGGCCAAAGATCTTGTGGTTGAGCGACATAACTGCCCTCAAATGAGAGGTCTTAGGTTCGAACTCAGTGTTGGGTATTGACTCTGTGTGTGATTCAGTATGTTGAGAAAGTATGTATAAACAGATCAGATACTACATTGTAATAGAGTCAAATAACATTCAAAAAAAAAAATTAATATATCATATAATATGAATTTAATTAATTAGATATATGAAAACTTGTGTAGGTGTCTAATTGGTTCATCAATGCAAGGGTGAGACTATGGAAACCCATGGTGGAGGAGATGTACCTTGAAGAAGTGAAGGAACAAGACAACATTATGGGATCCTCAGACGGATCAAGAGCCGCCGTTGACGGCGGTTCCGGCCGGGAACGGCTAGATAAAAAACCCAACGTCGTACGTCTAGATTCCGAATGCATCTCTTCTCTCATTAACATCCCCGCAAAGGCGGGCGGCGACCACCACCAGTTTGGAGCCGTGGAGCTGGACTTCTCGCCGTACACCCACAACTCCGGCGGCGCTGTCGGCTACCGGCCGGGCGAAAGGAAAACCGGCGGCGGCGGCGGCGTGTCGTTAACGCTGGGGCTACAGCAACATGGAGGAAGCGGAATAGGGTTAGCATTTTCGCCGACGTCTCAGAATTCACTGTTTTACCCTAGAGATCAAATCGGAGATTGCCCGCCGGTCCAATATTCACTGTTGGACGGTGAAGGTCAGAACTTGCCTTACCGGAACTTGATGGGTTCGCAGCTACTTCACGATCTGGCCGGCTAAGATCAGAACATCATCGGCTTCAAGAATCTCTGATCTCCCATCATCAAAACACATTCTATGATTTTACCAGCCTATATATACTATCACCATTGAGCCAAACAATTTCTTTTAATTCCCTTTAGAGTAAAAGGTTGTTGAGGTTAATTACTGGTCAAGTAAAATTTCAAAAAGTTGGCTTTCTGTTAATGCCCATTATTGTTAAGCTTTTCTAGCCTATTAGCTTTAATTTGTGGTGTATAGTTTTACAATATTCCAACTAGTTTGAACAATATATGGCTGGTAATTAATTTTGAATTCTTTCCTCTTTTGAAAGTATAGTAACTGTTGGGTAGAGGCCGGTAAAGGCCAAATCTAGCACCTCAAAACTGGGGAATTGTTGGGCAGAGGCCAGTAAAAAATTTAAACAATTGATCCTAACACTAACTGTCAGTCGGTCACAATGTTTAAGTGATACTTTACTTAAAAGCGAACTGAACTCTTTTTAAGAGCATATCAATTTTTTTGTGTAAGGAGATCTATACATATTGATATTAATTTGGTCTGAAAAAGGGGGTATTAATTAATTAGTAGTCCATACAAGAGAATGGAGATAGAGAGGTAGATGGAGATTCTTAATTTGGCGATGCTAGCAGAATCTAACTGTCTTGAGTGGTTTGTGGTTGTGATTAAGATAAGAATATCCAACAACGTTGTATAGGCACATATGAAGATTTTTATTAATGGTTTGGCATGAGGACAATTTAATATTGGTTGTATAATACTGTTAGGCTTTCAATTTTAGGAGGCGTCGGACTTTTCATATTTAAGAAAAATGTCGTGTACATCACTCCGGCCAATTATAAATTTTACGTGGTCCTTGATTCCCTTCAGAATATGCACCATGTTTTTCTTGCCCAACAATATTCACGATTTTTTTAAAAAAATATTTTTATTTCCAAAAAATTTGCGATTCTTTTGCTACCACTTCCCCAGGAATGTAGATTTGTAGGGGGGCAAAATGGTTTTTATAGTATATATAGAGTTATAGGTTACTAAAGTCTTCTGCCACCTGGGAGAATAGACTTTTTCTATGCAATTGTGGGTTTAACATTATGCTATCACAACAATCAAAGTAAGGTTTAAAGTGTCACTTCTGGATAAAATTGAATAATTTTTTAATAGAATATTATAATAGGATGAACTTGGTTGGGTTGTATAAGAGCATCTCTATTAGGCATAATTCTGCCCCGCAATAAGAGCTCAGTAGCTTTTCCTTTATTCTCTTCACACGGGTCCCACATTTGGATATAAAAATTCACTCTACTCTTCCATCCTCCAACCTCCTAAAAAATTGAGCTAAAATCCCTATTGGGATGCTGGGACAAGGATTAATTCCATTCACAAAGCCAATAAGGGAGTTTTGGATGGGTAGAATCATAGGAACAAGAATAAATACTGCTGAAAATTATGAAATTTTCGACCATCTGAAAGTGATCTTAAATCAAGTTGAAAGCCTTGTTCCGATATTCAGAAAAATCTTTGTTGCTATTTCCGACCACTTTTTACTTTCGACTTGATTTAAGATCACTTTCAGGTGGTGGGAAATTTTATAATTTCCAACAGTGAAAATACGTACATATGTATACGGGATCGGACCAAAGATTCTAAGTTTTACTCTTATTTTTACTCACTTAAAATTTTGATGTTACATAGCTGGAATAGAGATTGAGAGTTGATGTAATAGAATTCCTTCTACATACTACAAGGTTCTCTAACATAAAAAAAAAAAAATTAAAAAAATTAAAAAAAATTAAAAAAAAAAAAACAGGCAGCAGCTATGCCCACAACTCCACAAGGCCATGACGGACATGCCTCCAGCACCCAACAACACAGCCACTGAGCCACATAAGCCCAAATTTAATTTAATATTTTAGTTTATTATCATTTCATCATAAGTAGCTCAACATAATTTCATGGGGAATAAACTGCAGAAGAACATGAAACTACTTATGAGTTATGATGAAATGATAATAAACTAAAAAATTAAATTAAACTTATGTTTAATTACTTGTAAAATGCAGCAGCCTCCAAGACCCATACCTTCAAAGCGTTGATGGAAGCATAGGGCTGCTACCAATGGCCTTATCGTGCATGGATTGTCAGATGCTCCTAAGAGCAACCACATCAATGCATAATGTGAGAATAATGTCAGAAATTAATGCCATGTGGAAGAGAGAGAAGCAAGAAAGAGAAAAATGGGGTGCTTCTGCAAATGTGGGGAGATTTCATAAATGTGGGACCCACCATTAATTTTAACCATGTGTGACAGCCATGTGTGGCTGTCACCTCTGCGCCCAGCTGGCGCGTGCACTGCACGCTCTGACAGTAATTAAAATACTAATATTTTTATTTAATTTTTCTTTTTCCTTTTTTTTTTTCCTTTTTTCTTTCTCCTCCCATTTTCTCTATCATAATCACCCTTACATTATCTCATCATTCTCCCCAACTGATACGGATGCTCTAAGGACAGTCCAATCACAACCAAGTGTACAATAATTCCTAGCTCCAACACCTGCATTATATATACATATTCTTTAATACAACTTCACTAAAGTACAAAAGACTATTTTGTCCGAATAGCAAACTTGCTGCAATAGCAAATTTGCTAACCATGTCATTATATAATTTTTTTTAATTTTTTTTTTTTCAATGTGCCGACACATCTAACAAAGGAAAGATTAGCTGGGATAAGGACTGCCTAAGTGGTAGACGTAGGAGCATCCAAAAATTACAACAAACTTCAATTCAAATACAAACATTATATTCTTTAACATTATATATGGAGTATTAAAAAAAAAAAAAAAAGTGCAACTTAAAGAAGAAGGAAGGATGTATGGGAGTGTACCGTATTGAGGGCAGCAAGAAGATTGTTAACGTTGGGGTGAGAAGCAAGCATGCCATTGAGAGGAAGGTGGCGACGAAGCGGAAATCCAACGGCGGAGAACCCGACGGGATCATGCGGTGGCTAAACTCCACGTGCATGAAGACGAAGACCGCGACGAAGAAAAAGCACATCCCCCACCCTCCACTCCATGAAAAACGGCGGCCTTCTCACGCCGGCAGCTCCATGTTTTCCTAACTCCGAGGTTAAGGTTGCCCTTTGGCTGACGGCGTTGACATCTAATCCATTCGTGACGACCATGGAATTCTTGTAGATGGAGGTGGACGGAGAACGGAGATTGACAAATTTGTAAAATATCCATCCTAGTTTGACTAATTTAGGAAACTTTTAAAGTATATATAAACCAATAGAGTTGGTTTAATTCTTTCCTATTAGTCTGCTTAAAACAATTATATGGAGGGCTGCTAAGGAGGTTCTCCCTACTACATATTGTGTTTGAGACAAAGAAGGGTAGAAGTGGAGGCAAACTACTGTCCGGCCGGCCTATTTGTAGGGCGGCCGGCAGGAGCCTGAGACCTTAGCTTTTGTGATTGTATTTTTGCAAGGTGTGGCATGCAGGAGATGCATCTACAAGCAGCACAAGATGTGTTGGATTGGGGAGGAGGGTGGTTGAGTCATGTGTTTAACATGCAAGCTAAGGGGAGGATATATCATGCATGTGGGATTTAATATGCTTTAATTTGTTGATGCTGCATTTAATCATAATATAGCTAGGCGCAGCATATATATGGCTTTTGTATACATGCATGCAGTACGTGGGTGGCAGCAGCGAATGGACTTTTGAGTGGAGCGGGCGATGCGCATATATATGGCGGCCGGAGGTTTTGAGGCCCTATCTTGGTTGAAAAATATCGGGTATTCACGTGTTCTTGTCCTTTCAGATTGTCAGGTCTTATGTATAAACTTAGTTAATCATGTTAGTATTAATTCTTATCTTGGTTATGTTCATGATGATTGTGTAGCTAGCTTTGCTTGGTTCCTTAGATTCATGTCAAGTTAGATTTGTGAATCGGACTATGAACCGTGTTCCACATGTTCTAGCAGCACCGGAGAACTCTTAGTCTATGCCTCGGGTTTGGGTTGACACCCCTCCTGAATATATTGCTCATTTGATTTCTTGATTAATGAGATGATTTGGTTACTTTCAATCAAATTAAAAAAAAAACAATAATAATAATAATAATAATAATAATAATAATAATAATAATAAGAATTCACCAATTAACAGTAGTCAACATATACAAAACATATGCAAATTAATATAGTAGAACAAGAATAATTACAACCAAATTTAGATTTTTTTGTCTTTTACAAATTACTCTAGTAGAACAAGAATTACAATAGAATTTAGATTTTGATGATGCTAATAAAAAACAAAAGCCTTAGAATCCCCAAAATTCTATTGTAATTAATTCTTGTTTTACTAGATTATTAATTTGTAAAAGACAAAATAGGACCAATGGCGGATCCAGAAATTTTTTTCAGTGGGGGCGAAACGCATTAAAACAAAAAAGATAGTTTGATAAAACATAAAACACTTAAAAGTATAGCCATAAATATTGTTGGATGTGGACGAAAATAAAACACATCAAAACTTTATAAAAAATATTCATAACAAAATATGAAACATAATTAATTTGATAAAATAATTTGAATAAAAAATACATTATAAACACATCTCATTATTAATATAATTTAAAAATCATAAAAAAAATATAACATGCACGCTTTGCACCCCTATGTTGGATTAAATCTGCACACACGCTGAGAAAGGATTCGAACCCTGGCCTCTAAAAAAAATAATATGCACGTCTTGCCACCCAATCCAATCATCTTTTATGAAATCTTATCTATTTTATTATACTTATATTAAAACTTGTACTATATATACATACATACATACATACAAGGGTTATATATGGGGTGGGTGTGGAGTGAGGGGGGCAGCTGCCCCCATGCTGGGTCCGCCCCTGAATAGGACCTAGGTTTCTTGAATACCATCAAATCTTGACCGGAAGAACCTACGCTCATAATAAGATTTTGATGCAATAGAATTATAGTTTCGCAATGCAAAGTCTGGCTGAAAAATCTTATACCAAAATTTTTTAACAAAAAAACCATTCCAGTAGATTTGGATATAACCACGATAAAGCATAAGACCATATTCATACTGGCTTAACAACAAAATTAGCCAACGGTAAACCTTTAATTCATGTGTGGAGGTCATATATGTCTTAGCATCTAAACAAAAAAGGAATCAACGGAACTATTCAAGTCAAGATTCAATATATCTTTATCACGCAACAGATCCAAAGTATACCAACACTAATACAAAACTGGCAAAGTGTACTTAGATGAATTAAATAACCTATGTGGGAGTAAATTTGAGGAAACATGTAGTAAAACTCGATAAAAACTCACTCAGCTCTCTGCAACAACTCAAATCTTCTCTCTTCAACACAATCTCTCCCATCCTCCAACCTCCTCAAAAACAGAGTTAAAGTCCCTATTGAAGATGCTCTAATGCCATCAACAATAAATATGACAGTGGGACAGGGATTAATTCCATTGACAAAGCCAATAAGAGAGTTTTGGATGGGTAGGATCATAGAAACAAGAATAAAGTGTTGGAAAAATAGCTTAAAATGGCATAAAATGGCATGTTAAGTGGCTATTTTGTGGTACAATTATCAGTGTGGTCCACTTCCGATTTGGGTCGGGTTAAAGTGGATTCGGATTCTTCGTAGTGAGACGAAGAGATCGATATATTGTACGCTCAAAACGGATAATGGGTGAATGAGATATTGATTCTCAAAGTAGACCCATTTGAGTTGGAAAATGAAGGGAAAAAGTGAGCTTTTGTCCCACATTGCTTTGGAATGAAGATTTTCCCCCCTTATATACAAGAGCTCTTTTGAAGCTTGTAGAATTGTATAGCATAGAGGCTCTCTCGCGCGGGGGGGGGGGGGGGGGGGGGGGTGTGCAAATCAAATTCCAACTAGCATTCAAGCCCGAGCTCGTGTGCGCCGGCACCTGGGGGGCACGAATGAAATTGGCTGGCTGGCCTTGCGGGCTAAGTTATGCCAAGCTTCGGCACCTACGCTCGTGCAACAGAGTCCACGAGAGGCCCTGTACGCTAACGGTCAGGAACCCGAAAGTTTGTCTATTAATTCCAATTCTGAATTCAATTCCCAGGTAGTGGCTAGCTGTTGGAAGGCAGCTTTAATGTCATTTTTAATTGCCATAATAAAGGCTATTGGTTCCTTCAACCCTATATAAGAGAGGGTAGAGGCAGTAGAGTTTTACACATTGTGAGAACAGCAAGAACACTGCACGAAACTTTTGTTTTCCAACCTCAAAACCTCTGTGCTTCTACTCTTTCTTGGCCTACTGTGTTCATAGCCATTGTCTTGCTCGCCGGATTCCTTGTTTGAGTGCTCAAACATTGAATCATTAGCAAGTTTTATCCTGGGAAGCCTAGGCCACAACGCTCCTAGCATCTTTGGGAGGTGGCAAATAAGGTTTTAAGGAGAGAGTGCTCACTCGACTCTTGCAAAAACCCAACACCAAAACACTAGCCAATTTCTTCAATTTTTCTTCCCCTCTTTCCAGAAAATAATAGTCAATTTTTATTTGATTATTATTTGTTTTCTACCAACGGTACCAACAGTCTTAAAACCTTATATATTTGTTTTCCCGTTGGTGGTCTTCTCCGAATTTCCTTGAAGAAAATGGAGCATCCCGTATTGCCAATTGATGGGGAGGATAATGTTGCGGACAACAATGGAAGAAACGGCAACAATAACGTTGTTGCGGATAACAGTGGAGGGAATGGCAACAATGTTGCTAATTCCCAAGCTACACCAGTGAACGTTGGTTCACAAGATGGTAGGAGCACTGAGGGATATATTCCCATGTCTCGGGTACCTACGGTACCGAGTGGTTCGGCTGAAAAGCCGGAGAAGTTCACCGGTGTTGGTTCGAACTTCAAGAGGTGGCAACAGAAGATGTTGTTCTACCTAGCAACTCTCGGCCTGGCAAGGTTCTTGTCCGAGAGTGTTCCCGAGTTGAAGGAACAAGATGCACAATCCGTGATGGCGGTTGGCTATTGGAAGGATTCGGACTTCCTTTGCCGAAACTACATCCTGAATGGATTGTGTGACACGCTATATGATGTATATCGAAAGATAAGCACATCAAAAGCGTTGTGGGAAGCTTTGGATCATAAATACCGAAGTGAGGATGCCGGCTCAAAGAAAT